TTGCAATTACACAGGTGTGTGTCCATGCTGAGGCTTCTAAACCGTTTCAATACCATAATCTGAAATAACTATTTTTAGCTCTCAAAGGTTTAAATTTTAACTTCTAAGAAGTGTTAATCCCTATTTTCTAACCAGACAGCGGTTAGGATTTATCAGTGACTCCCTCTGCAAGATTTAGGACTAATTTCAGCTATTTGATGGCTCAGGAATTTAGAGGCTTAGTCATTTTTTTAGCTGTCCTCTGCATAATTTGATATTGTTGCTGTTCAGCATTTATATTTCTAGCACCTTCTGATCTATTCTGAATTATTGTCCTTTGTTTACATGCCTTGGATCCCAACAATGAAACCTTTGCATTTGTCCAGAATCTTAGAAAGCAGACTTATTTGAAAAGGGATCCCAATGGGAGGATTCGAAACAGTATTTGTATAATAAACTAGACGCAGGCTAAATGTTTAAAGCATGTCCCCCATTATGTGAAAAAATGCATGTTATGAAAAAGTCTTGAGGAATGCAACTCAGGTAGGCAAAAAGCTGAAAAAAACCGTAAAGTTTTGTAAAAAAAAAAAAGTCATATACAGATAGTCCATTGTTAAGCTAGTAACATGGTTGTTAAGTCAATCCAGCTTCCCCATTGACTTTGTTAGATAGTCGTAAAAGGGAATCACATGACCCCAGGACGCTGCAACCGTCGTAAATATGAGTCAGTTGCCAAGCGTCTGAATTTTGATCACGTGACTACGAGGATGCTGCAACGGTCGTAAGTGTGAAAAATGGTCGTAAGTCACATTTTTCAAGGCCGTTGTAATTTTGAACGGCCACTAAACGAATTATTGAGGGCTACCTGTAGAGCTTTGGGTATTTATTTGCATTTTAATGCCCTGCTTAGGCAGCTTCATTTAGTGGAACAACCTGCCTCCAGAAGCGGTGAATGCTCCAACACTGGAAATTTTTAAGAGACTGGACAGCCATTTGTCTGAAAGGGTATAGGGTTTCCTGCCTGAGCAGGGGGTTGGACTAGATGACCTCCAAGGTCCCTTCCAACTTTATTATTATTATTATTATTATTATTATTATTATTATTATTATTATTATTATTATTATTATTATTATTATTATTATTATTATTATTTATCCTTTCCATCTCAGTGGCACACAAAGCACCTGAATTATGAAAGTGAAAATAAAAACCTCCATTCCGGATACTGACCGGGCCTTTTGATTTCTTTATCAAATTTAGATACCGCCCACCTCACTCTCCATTTACTATCTGACATTTGCAGAAGTATTGAGGATAGCTTGAGGATAAGGGCTGAGGGGAATCCGTACTAGAAGTGTGTTATGGGGTCTCCTACTGGAGCAGGGGGTTGGACTAGAAGATCTCCAAGGTCCCTTCCAACTCTGTTATTCTGGTATTCCGTTTGCCTGGTTATTTGAGTTGCAACAGCCAAATGGAGATAAAATACCCTTTAGGGTCTTGAAAACCTAACAAAACTCATATGACAGACGTCCTTCCTGAGTCCTGCCAAACTCTAATATGTCCTAACTAAGATAGTACAGCAGAGGAGGCGATGATTAAATAACATAAATTGAATCACGTTATCCCATTCATTCAAGGATTTTATTTTATGAACAGGTTAAAAACACACTGTGTTCTACAAGCATGTGGTACTTATGACATGTGACAATCCAAATTGAATTTTGCAGCACCCCAGAAGACTGTTTTTTTTTAAAAAAAAGAAAATGTTATGGATTTTCTAGTTTTACATTTAAATATTTGAAAAGCAACGTGGCATCTGCGTTGGTCAATAATTCAATAACATACAAATATCTTTAGTGCAGAGCTCAAACTTTTACATTAAATAATAATAATAATAATAATAATAATAATAATAAAGTTGGAAGGGACCTTGGAGGTCATCTAGTCCAACCCCCTGCTCAGGCAGGAAACCCTATACCATTTCAGACAAATGGCTGTCCAGTTTCTTCTTAAAAACTTCCAGTGTTGGAGCATTCACCGCTTCTGGAGGCAGGTTGTTCCACTGGTTAATTGTTCTCACTGTCAGGAAGTTTCTCCTTAGTTCTAAGTTGCTTCTCTCCTTGATATTTCCTCTCTTTTCCCCTTGGTTTTTACTGCCTCATATTTAAAAATTAGTACAATTCTTATTCTATCGGTTAAATAAAAATAACTTTCTTACATTTAGCACTCCAGAAGGCTTTTATATCCTGGCAATTACATTCAATTAATCAGCACCGTACATTTTTCCACTGGACGCAGTCCTCAAGTTACAACAGTTTGTTTAGCGGCCGTTCCAAGTTACAACGGCGCCAAAAAAAGGTGACTTACGAATGTTTTTCACACAGCTGCTGCGGCGTCCCCCGCGGTCACCTGATCAAAATTCGGACGCTTGGCAACTGACATGTACTTATGACGGTTTCACTTAAATGTCTCACTTAGCGACAGAAAATTCGGGCTCAATTTTGTTCGTAAGATGAGGACTTCCTCTACTTTTTTTTTGATTTTCCATAAAGAGGGGAGATGACCTTGGCTCCCCTAATTCCTAGCCCTCTCCACGCTGCATATTTACACACCAAACCGATTCTTCACCTGCTAGGAAACCACCGACTTACATCAGAGCACAACTAAGTTGTGGCACAGCGGAGGATGTGGGCTCATTCCAGCAATTCTCTCTTCACTCCCCCCCCCACCAAACCCCCACCCCCACCCCATTTTCATCCTGCCCCTGGAAGTTACTTTTATACAAATACTGAATAAAAAAGCTTTGGATAAAGAGCCAGATAACTGAGCCAGTGACGCCACTACGAAAAATGACAAAAAAATTACAAACCTCAGAGAATTCAATGGGAACGAAGCAAGAAGGACAGGCTGGTTCCGGCCAAAATAATAATAAAAACAACATATGCATATGTATGTATATAGCATGCCTATATGTGTTAGGTATATGTACACTTTTGAGAGCAGGCAATTTTTTTTTATGTGTTCCAGTGTGCCTACAGTAAAGAATGACAATATATATCTACCTAACTACCTACCTATCCATCCATCATAATAATGTATATACATATGTATGTATATAGCATGTCTATATGTGTTAGGTATGTGTACAATTTTGAGAGCAGGCAAAAGAATTTTTGATGTGTGCCAGTGTGCCCACAGTAAATGGACAATAAAAGTTATCTCTTTCTATGTCTGTCTGTCTGTCTGTCTGTCTCTGTCTCTCTCTCTATATATAATCTATCTCTCTCTCTGTCTGTCTCTCTCTTTCTCTGTCTCTGTCTCTGTCTCTCTATATATACATACACATCTCTATCTCATTCTATTTCCCTATGTCTCTCTCTCTATACATTTATCTATCTCTATACATCTATCTCTATACATGTATCTATGTATCTCATTCTATTTCTTTATATCATCTATCTATATACATCTATCTATCTCTATACAACTATCTATCTATCTCATTTTATTTCTCTATATCTATCTATCATCTATCTATCTATCTATCTATCTATCTATCTATCTATCTATCTATCTATCTATCTCTATACATCTATCTATCTATCTATCTATCTGTCTGTCTGTCTATCTCATTCTATTTCTCTATATCATCTATCTATCTATCTATCTATCTATCTATCTATCTATCTATCTATCTATCTATCTATCTATCTATCTATCTACCTACCTACCTACCTACCTACCTACCTACCTACCTACCTACCTATCTCTATACATCTCTCTCCCTCTCCCTCTCCCTCTCTGATGTCTGGTTCATTGAGATGGCACTACTAGGTGATGCACGAATTGAAGAGGAGAAAAATAACAAAATATCCTGATTTGCAAACTGAAGTTGAGCGACTACGGGGGCAGAGATCAAGGCTTGCACCCCTAGTAAAAGGAGCCCTTGGAGCCAGACCCAAAGGGCCGCCTAGCAGATACATGGACATCCTGAACTGATTAGACCCGAATATCCTGACTTTGCAAAAGCCACCCTACTTGGAACTGCCCATATGCTCACAGCTCCCCTTTAGGCCCTTGCTTAGGACTCCAGCTGCTTTGGCCTCGAACGTGCCCACTCTGGTTTTTCTCCCGGGAACGTGGGGGAGATTTCCCAAGCAGGATCAAACCAGGAAGAGTCAGGATGGAAATCAATGCCGGGAAATCCGGCCAAACCAGTCCCGCGCCCGTTGCATCCCTCTTTTTTCTTCTTCTGCAGGAGCAGAAACGGGACCCGGTTCCAAACCCATCGAAGCCATTCAAAGGAGAGTTGGGGGTGGTGGTACCCCAATTCTGCTTTTTTTCTTGTTTGGGGGGGCACCTGGTTGCAACAGATTCCCTCCCATGCACTCCTTGCTAGCCTTGGAATAAAGGGAGCCGCGTTAGCCAAAGGAAGGGAGACCACCAGGAAATCTCCCCCCCACCGGGAGCAATTGGGGACACCTCAACCCCTATTTTTTTCCTCCCTTTTGGGGGGTGAGGGGGCGTCTGGTTGCAACAGATCCTAGCCGCGCACCCCCTTGCTAGCCTTGGAATAAAGGGAGCCGCGTTAGCCAAAGGAAGGGAGACCACCAGGAAATCTCCCCCCCCCACCGGGAGCAATTGGGGACACCCCAACCCCTATTTTTTCTCCCTTTCTTGGGGGGAGGGGGGCGCCTGGTTGCAACAAATCCCAGCCGCGCACCCCCTTGCTAGCCTTGGAATAAAGGGAGCCACGTTAGCCAAAGGAAGGGAGACCACCAGGAAATCTCCCCCCCCACCGGGAGCGATTGGGGACACCCCAACCCCTAATTTTTTTCTCCCTTTTTGGGGGGGAGGGGGCGCCTGGTTGCAACAGATCCCAGCCGCGCACCCCCTTGCTAGCCTTGGAATAAAGGGGAGCCGCGTTAGCCAAAGGAAGGGAGACCACCAGGAAAGCCCCCACCCCTTCCGGGAGCGATCCAGTCTACTGTACTGGGAAACGAAGGAGCCCCCCCCTCTCCCCCAGGCTTCCTCTGTCTGCAGCTCCGCGGGAAGGGGGGGGAATCTGGAATTGGGGCGCCCCGGGGGTCGTCTAGCTGCTCTCACCTTGTCCCAGAGCAGCCACTGGGCTGCCGCCGCCCGGGCGCGATCCGCCGCCTCCGCCATCCAAAAGATGCAAAAAGAAAAAGAAAGAAAGAAAAGAGAGAAAGAGAGAGAGAGAAGGCCACGACTGCCGGGTCTGGCTGTAGGCTCCGCCCCGGGAGGCGGAGTCAAGGGGTGGGCGGAACCCGACGAATCACAGCAGCCCCTTCGGGAGGAGGAGGAGCTCCGCGAGGGTGGGGGTGGTGGGGGGGAAGGGTTGACGCCCAGGAGGCGGTCTTGCCTTGCTCCGCCCACCGAGGGGAGGGGAGGAAAGGAAAAGGAGGGGGACAGGAGACCACCGGGAGATCACCCTTGCCTGCCATGGGTTCGTGGACGTCGTAGGGAGCCGATCTGGCTCTGGAGACAATCTCCTTGGTTACATTGTTGCTCAGTCCTTGCTTAGCATGTTTCCCCACCTGCTTTGCTCTCTCTGCCCAGGAGGATGGGTAGGGGGCTGTTTAGGGCAACCTAAGGACCCCGTGTGGTTACCCTAAAAGGAGATCAAAGGGGAGAGGGGCTTTGGTGGGGTCTTTTAGGGAGAGCCCTTCACCAATGTCCTGAAGCATAGATTTAGCCACAGTATTTCTCCTTCCTTCCTTCCTTCCTTCCTTCCTTCCTTCCTCCCTTCTTATTATTCCTTCTCCTTCTTTTTTCATTCTTATTATTCTTATTCTTATTTCTTCTTCATTCTTATTATTTCTTCATTTCTTATTCTTTATTCTTATTTTTTCTTCATTCTTTATTCTTATTATTTCTTCTTCATTCTTCATTCTTATTATTTCTTCTTCACTCTTTATTATTCTTTATTCTTATTTCTTCTTCTTCTCCTCCTCCTCCTCCTCTTCCTCCTCTCCTCCTTCGATCTTCATTCTTCATTATTATTCCTTCTTTCTTCATTCTTCTTCTTATTTCTTCTTCTTCATTCTTATTATTTCTTCATTATTCTTATTCTTCATTCTTCATTCTTATTTCTTCTTCATTTTCATTCTTATTATTTCTTCTTCATTCATTATTCTTCTTCTTCTTCTTCTTCTTCTTCTTCTTCTTCTTCTTCTTCTTCTCCTCCTCCTCCTCCTCCTCCTCCTCTCCTCCTTCTTCAATCTTCGTTCTTCATTATTATTCCTTCTTTCTTCATTCTTCTTCTTATTATTATTTCTTCTTCTTCTTCATTCTTATTATTTCTTCATTATTCTTATTCTTCATTCTTCATTCTTATTTCTTCTTCATTTTCATTCTTATTATTTCTTCTTCATTCTTTCTT